TCGAATCGGGTGGAGCGGGGTCATATGTCACAAATGCTTCGCGAAGACTTGTGACGTAAACATTTGCTCCAGTATCGAAGCGCCAGTGATAGTCTATCGGTAATGGCGTTTGTAGTTCCTGGTCCTGAATATACTCGCCAACAGTATCGAACGGAGTTTCACTTACCGGATGATCCTCCAACGAATTAACGTTAACCTCGATCGAATGAGCTCTGGGTTCTTCAGCATTTACGGTAACGGCAAGTGGTGTCGTAGGTGAGGCTTGAACCGTAATCATGGCACGCGATTTTTTTCCTTTTTGGTCTTCCGACTCGACTGCATTTGGACAGTCTCGCTTAAGATGACCAGGCTTGCCACACCCATGACATGTTCGAGTCTCTGTCCGATGTGCACCTTCGCCATTACTCTTTACTTTGCTGTACATTTACCTGTTATGCTTCTTGTCGAAATCGGCCTTCGTCTCGTGACCACATGCATCTCTTTCATCACATATGAAAGATGAACGTCTAATTTGGTAGTGCGAACTCGCCGTTCGTATTTGCTCTTCCTACTCGTCAATGTCAAAAGCTGGTGAGTTTCCACACCAGTTTTGCGTTTATATTAGTGCGAATTCATCAATCTTGGCCGGTAAGCTTTGAAGCACGTACATCATCTTCGTTGTAAATGATACCGTATGACCCAAGTCGGCCAATTCAAGCTGCTTGTTTCTCATCCTTCGCAGATGCACTTCAATATCTTCAGTGACGTTGTATCTGCATTGTCGTACTTCCTCCTCTAATCGCTGCACTTTGTGAAACACAGCCACAGTCGTCGATCGGGTGGCATATCGTCTCGTCAAAGCAGCCAACATCTTGCTTCCCGTTGGTTTTGTCCTGTAGAGCTCTGCCAGTTCCGCTGAAATTGACATTAAAATCGTTTTTCGAATCTTGCGCTCCATCTTGGCCAACTTCTGCTTTCCTTCATCGGTCACAAGATATTTTGCCTTGATGCGCTGGCATGCCACATCCCAAATCTCGTCATCATCATCCATATCCTGGAACGTCACCTTCATCATCTCGAAGTACGTGTGCCAGAACTCCACAGCTGAAGCCGAATATGTTGCCGTCTGTGAAGCATTAATGGAGGCAGTCAGCGAGCGAAGTGTGATCAGTGAAGTATTACCGACAGTAAACATGGAGGTCAGGATTGGCATCGATAGTTAACGTGCTTACGTGTTGGCCGTGAACCCAACGTACTCAAAGCGCACAAGACACATCGAATTGCGGTGGCATCTCGTGCGAGAGCAAGTCAAGCTGAAAACGGTATTGTTTGAAAAGATGCCCAGTGAATCGAACCCAGCAGATGCTTTTACGAAGGCACTCGACAAAGACGACTTGTGCGTCCATCCAACTCGATCGGTGTGCGAGGCTAGCCTCGAGGAGGGCGTGCTGTGGAAAGTATACAAGTGTGATAACAAGACTTTCCAGACGGTTAAGTTGAAAGGTGAATGCCCTTCGCGTATCACAGAAGGATTCGATGGATGATATCAGCATAGTGAAGTCCCAGTATGGAAGGAGGTGTTGTTGTAAACCGACTGTGAAGTCCCAGAGGGAGGTTGCTGCAGTTAGTACTCTGGGAGACGACGCCGTATACATGTAGTAGGAAGGTAGTAGTTTCGTATAAAGATAATGAACGTTCAGTTCCAAAAACTACGTCAAGGGCGGAAGCGCGTTCTCAAAACATCACTGGATGCGTCGGACGAGCTCAAGGTCAGCGCCGCTGGCGTTGTTGCTTGGGCAGCGAGAGTGGCGGACACAGTCGTCGCATACTATGTCATCGCGTGCAACGAAACTTGGCGCAGTATGTACTTTATGCACGGCGACACCAGCGTTATGGCTGTTTGTTCTGTGTGTTGGAATGCGTTGGCAAGCGTGACGCTTCTACTTTATACGTTTCACATATACCTCACGCTTTGAAGTGCTGGAACGAGCTACAAATGAGGTGCCATACCGTATCGACTACACGGACAAAAAGACAGGCAAGACCGTTTGCAAACAATTATCTGGGGCTCAAATTCACCAACTACCATCTGCATTGCACGGAAAGTATATGTGTACGTCTACAACAACGTTCAAATGGCAAGTGTGCTGTGCTTGTCAGACGCGCAGCAGCACTCAGCGATGCGGTGGCAAGGTGCTCGTTGATTGAGTCAAGCGGTCCCGAGGATTACTTGTGGCAAACATCGAACAACACGTTGACACTCTCGCCGCCTCTGCCGCACAAAGCACTTACGTTGCCGAGAAGCGGAAGGTACGGGTGTATATGGACGTGTGCGAAGGTAGTCCCGACGCCGACACCAATATAGCCGCCAATTTCCTCCGCCTCGTGTCGCTCGACATGCTAATTGCGGTAGACGCTTGGCTGCATGCCATAGACATCGTCGTTCTCGCGGCTATCCATGTCGTCATCATCCCCGGAGCGACGCTTCGTTCCGCCACCAGCCTTCTGGCTGTAGACGTCTCCCTTGTCGTCGCGGCTATCCTTGTCGTCGCGGCTATCCTTGTCGTCGCGGCTATCCTTGTCTTCATCTCCGTAGCCAAGAGGACGCTTGTCATAAGCGCCCCTGTTGCCGTCACGGCTGTTACGGTCATCGTCATCATTGTCTGTGTAGACACTGCGCACGTGATGGGACGTCTGCACGGCTTCCGTCGACGCATCCACGGTATTGCTCACAAACGCCAAGGCAGCCACGCTCAGCGCACCGATCATGATACTGAGCTTCATCTTGCTTGCGAAGGTGTTGTGCTTTGTGCTTTGTGCTTTGTGCTTTGTGCTGTTGTCGTACGTCCGAAGTTGGAGAATGAACTCACTTGCTGGGTCCGAGAGCTACAAGCGCACCCGATCTCGCTTCGTCGTCAAACTCTCTCTCGTGACGATTACGTCGTAAGAACCGTTAGAAGCTCAGTTCTGATTGCTCATCCAACCAAGTAGAGGCGAACGGTGTGTTTCAGACGAAAGAAAATGTCATCGGATCGATTGACTGCAACAGTAGTCGCAAATGCACAGCGCAAAAGGTGGTCATCCCATGTGTTTGGTGGGCATCGGCTGTCGGCTCGGATAGTTGCAACCGACGACAGATTACTACGAAAAAGTGGGATGCATATGGTGCGTCAAGCATTCTTATGCTGTTTTTGTGTCGATCTGACTGGTCGAGCTGTACCAGACACCGCGTCTTGTCGGATGTGCAGCAGCAGATACGTACTTCTCAGAAACGAATGTCCGTCATGCCTTGTTTTCCACGCGGTACTGCAGCTGTAGACGTCCTAGATAGACATTGCATGTGGAACTGACAGCTAAGCCGTCTTCCCGGAGCCACATGCGACTTCTACACGGGTGGTCAGCATGACGCCAAATAGCAGATGCACGGCGCCAGCCGAAGTACAGTCTTCTCTATGCGACTTGAATAACGGTCACAATGCTGGTCGACAGATGATCGCGTGAGCCTATGCTCGGGTATTCCCTCAAGAATTTGGCAAGATGGTGGTGGTGTCAAGTACGTCCATTATTATGATAACTAACGACTGATAAGTGTGACAAGAAGTACGGCCCGGGTATCGGGTCGACAACTAAAGGGCTCCGTAGAGCCAGGGGCGACGGCAACGAGGTCAGAGACCCTCCTACCGAAGCTAACTACGAGTCAATCATGACCGCTGGCGCGACCAAGTAGACTGGGGACATGCGTACCGCCGGAGCGGCAGCACGTACAACGCGGGTATGCTGCCATATAAGGCAACAAACCCCTTTAGGACCGCTTGCGCGGCCCCCGACGTGGAGTGCGAACACCGAAGTGACTGCGTGGCGTGGAGAACGCCAACCCGCCATATATCTCTCCGAGGAGCTCAACCATCTGCGATGGTGGCCCCCTTCAGCCGCTTGCGCGGCCCCCGACGTGGAGTGCGATCGCCGAAGTGACTGCGTGGCGTGGAAAGAATTTGGCAAGATAAAACATGGCATGTTCTTGAAATCAAAACGAGGTAAATTTTGCAATGTTTTTAATATTCAATTGTCTCCTGTCAGTACTCACTCGCAAAAACTATACGGCAGCGAGAAGAGCTCCCATACCATTGAAACGAAAAAGACGAAGGTCGTGATGAGCTTACTACACAGAAAGCAAACGTGGCTGGCAGACCTAATGACTACTTTATTTTTACAGCTAGATGATAGAACGGTCGTCTCGCTGGTGTCGTGATCCGTTAAAACAAGCCTGCCTTGCCAAATTCTTGAGGGAATACCCGAGCATAGGCTCACGCGATCATCTGTCGACCAGCATTGTGACCGTTATTCAAGTCGCATAGAGAAGACTGTACTTCGGCTGGCGCCGTGCATCTGCTATTTGGCGTCATGCTGACCACCCGTGTAGAAGTCGCATGTGGCTCCGGGAAGACGGCTTAGCTGTCAGTTCCACATGCAATGTCTATCTAGGACGTCTACAGCTGCAGTACCGCGTGGAAAACAAGGCATGACGGACATTCGTTTCTGAGAAGTACGTATCTGCTGCTGCACATCCGACAAGACGCGGTGTCTGGTACAGCTCGACCAGTCAGATCGACACAAAAACAGCATAAGAATGCTTGACGCACCATATGCATCCCACTTTTTCGTAGTAATCTGTCGTCGGTTGCAACTATCCGAGCCGACAGCCGATGCCCACCAAACACATGGGATGACCACCTTTTGCGCTGTGCATTTGCGACTACTGTTGCAGTCAATCGATCCGATGACATTTTCTTTCGTCTGAAACACACCGTTCGCCTCTACTTGGTTGGATGAGCAATCAGAACTGAGCTTCTAACGGTTCTTACGACGTAATCGTCACGAGAGAGAGTTTGACGACGAAGCGAGATCGGGTGCGCTTGTAGCTCTCGGACCCAGCAAGTGAGTTCATTCTCCAACTTCGGACGTACGACAACAGCACAAAGCACAAAGCACAAAGCACAAAGCACAACACCTTCGCAAGCAAGATGAAGCTCAGTATCATGATCGGTGCGCTGAGCGTGGCTGCCTTGGCGTTTGTGAGCAATACCGTGGATGCGTCGACGGAAGCCGTGCAGACGTCCCATCACGTGCGCAGTGTCTACACAGACAATGATGACGATGACCGTAACAGCCGTGACGGCAACAGGGGCGCTTATGACAAGCGTCCTCTTGGCTACGGAGATGAAGACAAGGATAGCCGCGACGACAAGGATAGCCGCGACGACAAGGATAGCCGCGACGACAAGGGAGACGTCTACAGCCAGAAGGCTGGTGGCGGAACGAAGCGTCGCTCCGGGGATGATGACGACATGGATAGCCGCGAGAACGACGATGTCTATGGCATGCAGCCAAGCGTCTACCGCAATTAGCATGTCGAGCGACACGAGGCGGAGGAAATTGGCGGCTATATTGGTGTCGGCGTCGGGACTACCTTCGCACACGTCCATATACACCCGTACCTTCCGCTTCTCGGCAACGTAAGTGCTTTGTGCGGCAGAGGCGGCGAGAGTGTCAACGTGTTGTTCGATGTTTGCCACAAGTAATCCTCGGGACCGCTTGACTCAATCAACGAGCACCTTGCCACCGCATCGCTGAGTGCTGCTGCGCGTCTGACAAGCACAGCACACTTGCCACTTGAACGTTGTTGTAGACGTACACATATACTTTCCGTGCAATGCAGATGGTAGTTGGTGAATTTGAGCCCCAGATAATTGTTTGCAAACGGTCTTGCCTGTCTTTTTGTCCGTGTAGTCGATACGGTATGGCACCTCATTTGTAGCTCGTTCCAGCACTTCAAAGCGTGAGGTATATGTGAAACGTATAAAGTAGAAGCGTCACGCTTGCCAACGCATTCCAACACATAGAACAAACAGCCATAACGCTGGTGTCGCCGTGCATAAAGTACATACTGCGCCAAGTTTCGTTGCACGCGATGACATAGTATGCGACGACTGTGTCCGCCACTCTCGCTGCCCGAGCAACAACGCCAGCGGCGCTAACCTTGAGCTCGTCCGACGCATTCAGCGTATCGTTTGGTGCTGTGCTGATGTCCAAGCGCTGGAAAGGTGTTATAGGTGTCGGCGTGCAAGGACAGACCTAGTCCGCTTCAGCGTCTCATCAAAGTGCATTAAGTGCTTAAACAACTTCAACAGGATGTGCTATGAACACGATGTCGGTGGAGTCGATGAAATACGAGTAAGACGGCGTGCGAGCTCAGTCTTTCACAATGTTTTGAATTGGACACTTTGTCTTTTCGATAGGCATGATGTCCGCACTCGATGGTGGGGGAGATACATTACCACTATATATATCGCACGAGATCTAATTGTCGTGTCTCTTTGGTTGTAGAGAACAATGCAACTGCACTATGCGTTGCTACTGTACGAAGGAATTCCTGCATCGGTTGAGCAAATCAAGCGTGTATGTCTGAGTGTAGATTTTGGTTAATATGCAATGGACAAAATTATATGGTAAATTGTGATGGCAAGAGCCATTCTGGTATACACTATATTCGTCTGTGGACCAGTGGATAAACAGTGTGATAAAACATATTTAAATAATTATTTAGTGGGAGAATAAAATAATGACCCATTCAATCACAAAAAATTGCCCCAGATAATTGGAAAATAATGCTTCACGTCCTAGTAAAATCAACTTGATATGGTTTACAAATGCAGAATCATAATGCATTCACCCTTCTATTACCTCAAGGGCAACAAAGCAATACAAGTTCTGGTTCCGGTTATCATGTTTATCAACGCGATTTGTATGAGCACGATGCAACCTATTATAACTTCTCACAATAGGTGCTGGCGATTAAGAGCGCAAGTTGCTTGAATCCCATCGTTTTATTATACCGTGTCATTAGTCTTACACGCAGCTCCGTATAGCAGCATCACACTCGTCTATTTCTAGCTATACACACACAAGCGCACGTACACTATCCGTCATTGAGCACCAGCACGCGCGTGTTGCGGGCGTTCATGCACGCGATCCCGCCTACTGCAACGACTGAAATTTGCAGCAAAGAAGCATCATTAGCAGCATCAACAGAGTACCAACAGCAACCACGGCACCTATAACAACAGCAGCAGCAGAAACAGCAATAGCATCATCAACAGAGCAAGAATAACAGCAAACGTAGCACCTACAACAACACCAGCAGCATGAACAGCATCTACAGAGCAACATCAACAGCAACCGCATCATCTACGGCAGATGAAACAGCAGTAGAAGCATCAACAATAGCAATCAAAAAACAATAACAAAAAAAATACAATTAATAATAAGTTCATTTGCATCGATTGAGTGTGTTCACGACCGCAACCGACGATATGAAGACGCATTTGCGTCATTATAACTCGCGTCTACGCCTGTAACTGGTGGCTGCAAGCACAGCACGCCCGCGGAAGACCCTTATCTGCGGCTTCACAAACAGGGCGGGTTTTGGTCGCGGTCGTGAAAAGAAAAAACGAAAATGATTAAAGACTTGTGGTTATAGGTGTGCTCTATAAACGTGAGTTTACTAGGACGTGGGCCATTTTTTTAATGTTCCAATTATTTAAGATAGTTTTTTTTGTGTGAATGAAGATGCATTTTTTTATATTCCCTTTTTTAAGGGACCAATTTCGTCGGCCGTTGAGGCAAGGTTGATGTCAACGGCGTCGATCATAGTATCTTCATGTAACCTCGCTAGTACTGTATCTCCCGTCGCTGGAATCTTGACCGGCGATTGATGCGGGAACGTAGACAAAGCACACGGATACAACGTGGGTATCGTGCTTACGGTGCTTTTGAGATCTGGGTTTTATAAGTGTTGGAGCTCGGACGGATATAAAAAGTACGGATCACGAAGTCACTGGTGGCTATCGTTATACACCGTATCGATTTCGTCACTTTGCCTGCCTTGAAGCGTCCCTCTCAAAAAAGTTGTACTCATGCGCTACAGTCTGCAGCACTCTCGTATTCTTGTTGTGAACTCAATGAATGAAGCTTATTCTAAGACATTTTGAATTGGGCACGCTTCTTATTATTAAACTGGAAATTTCTTGTATGTTATTATAATACAAGGGTGCATGTCTCGGGCGTCAAGTACACGTGAGCGTTGAGGAATCGAGAGAAAAAGCTGAGCCAAGGATGATCAGAGTAGGGGTAAAGTAGAACTGTATTTAGTATAGCTCAGTTACTTTTCATCGACCTTTCTGAGTCGTACTTGACCTACATTACACTACAAACGTCTATGTAAGTTTTCGATCACAACCCGTTGCGCGCGTCCAACAGCGATTGGTGGTACAATTAGTCATCATCATCGTCTACACCAACCAATAAGTGGAGCAGCCTTGAATATTACCCTCGTAGTAATATTTATTCAATTTTTCCGTGGTCAAGTAAGGACAATCAATATTAACAACCTAGATCATATCCACATTATTATATATACTATAAATGTCACGTAACGGCCCGACCCCGTTACAACATTGACATTAGTTAGTCGAAATATGATCTGATTGGTCCAATCTAATAATATCATTGGGGTTGGTATGAATACGCCGTGGATATGAAACAATCCTGCACCTTAGGGGGTGATACCTAAAAGAAACCGATGTGAAAAGTTCGTACCAACTTGATGCCTCAAAAATGTGGCACGATTATCGTTTCTGGCATCATGTTTAGGCTGAGCAACTGTAAGAAGTTTCAAGTTATAATTGATTTTGTGACGATATATGTGTAAATTCAGAAGAAGATACGAAATCAATCCGAATATTTCTTTTGCATCTGATCGCGTGTCCTATGTTTACTTATGTATATTGACTTCGAATGAAGAATTACATCAGATCATTGGACAACAGTGGCCACTCCATCAATTAACACGTGACGCCCACCAACGAGATATACACACAATGATCGGTGAGAAAGAATAGTATGTACATGTCTGACATGAAATAGTAGGTACAAAACAGCTTTTTAACCCGCTTTATTATACTAGGTGCAATCCTCACCATTCCATACTCCTTTGCGCATTTGCTTTGTTGTTTTCTGTGCTTCATCTGCATACCACCGTATGCGTGGTACGCAGATTTTCTTCACACTTTCATCGGTGCGGATAGCCTATATTTTGTCAATATAGGCAGCACGTGACCATTCCACATAAAATCATTTCGAAGTTCGGGTAACGATCATAGAACTATCCACTATGAACTAAGCTGGATAGGATTGAGTTGAATATATGTGTGGATGTTTCTGATATACATCTGTTCTGTATTGGAAGTCTTTCAAACGACTAAAATTATATGTCACCAGCGTTTAGTACCATGTAGTTCACACTACAGAGTTACGAGCAACATGCTAAGATCGACAAGTTCATTTAACATGTACTTAATGTTCCAAGGAAAAAGTATTCAGTTTCAGCTACGAGTTGCTAGTAGGTAGACATGTTAACATAATAAAGGTGCTCCACATGGTAACTAATCATGCAACAATAAGTAGTTTCTTTGTTGCCGCAGCTGCGTCGACTTGAAGACTTTAGGATTGACATGATCAAGCTAACAAACGTCTAAGAAGCTTTCTTGCTACGATAGTTCTCGATCTTGACAAGCCACCATACTTTCCTTTTGGCGAAGTGAAACATCCCTTTCGTAATATTTACGAGGAATAATTTGCTAAATGTTACATTTAATTACAAACACTGTTTGAGCAGTTTGCAGGCTACCAAGATGGAATACATATCAGAGTCGGATGTTATTTCTTCCGCGTCATGGAACAATATCCTTGGGTAAATTGAGATAACCAATACCGTTAACTCATAAATATTAATTGGTAGTAAACGCAACTACTGGTGCAAACTAAAACCTTGCCATCGTTGAAGTTGTCAAACTGAAGTTTGGTTTTCCTCCGGGCAAATCTAACCCGTGGTCATCAGAGTCTTCTTCTGATACAACGTTTTGAGTACAGTATTCGTATTCAAGAAAGAACATATTGATGAGGATACTGAAGCGTTGAATGTAATGATTGGCAAAGAATCCAGTTATGCCGAAGGTAACTAGCTCGACACTCCGTTACTTCTGAAGGGGTGGTTCATACGTCGATATTGATCCGGTAGGATTCAGTAAACAAATGAAAAACATCCTTCTTTTGGACGCGTTCCAGACGCGTTTTGTCTCACCTCCGCTGACCTTTTTCCGAAGGCTAATTGGACGCAAAGTGATTACAAATTGTGCAGTAAGTGGCTTCTGCCACTGCCACATGATTACCTATGCATCAAAATATTATTTTTACATCAAATACAGACCAAATCAGTACAACCTAGTTCTTTATTACATGCGTACATTCAACACCAGGCTAAATTAATAATACCGTTTTCCAAGTGATC